CCCCCCAAAAAAAACAAAACAAAAAAAACACAGCCTGTTGTGCAACGCAAGTTTGTGTAAGAAAATGCTTGTTATTTAGGCTACTTTAATGATGTCTTGGTCTTTCGCGTGGCAACGGAAAGCAAAGAAAAATGGAACAGAAAAACAGGAAGAACACGCATAGCTTTTCAAGAACGCCATAGTGTCAACCAGTTTCTTTGATCGATTGATGTAAACCTTTTTCAAAGGATATAGTTTTACACATGGTGCCTACATTAGAACAATGTTAAACTGACGGCTCACGGAGACATACAGTAATAATAACTTTATGTGTAGAGCATTTAATAAAAAGCTGTTTTTAAGTCTTGCCAGATTGTTTTTCTTTAACTGGATATATGTCAGATCTATAACTGGGCCATTCTATTGCATAAAGATATTAATCAAAGCCATTCTGTTGCATTTCTGGTGACTTGGTAAGCTCCTGACCTCCCACATTTCTGCCATATTCCCTTCAAGGCTTTATATTATGTTTTTTATATCCTGTTTTAACACTGTTTTTTTTTTTTTTTGTAACTCCACTATAAAAGGTCAGAATCAGTGAGAATACACAGAGTAGTTAACAACATTCCCACCTGAGCTGCTGATTCCTACAGCTGCTCCACAGTCTTTTAACTGATTTTCTAAACAATGTTCTCCTAGTCTAGCCTTTTAATCTATCTGGGCAGTAACCTCTTAATAGCCATGCTGCTGGCCTGACAACCTGTCTATGGCATTTCTTTAGGTTGTGGATTTAACAGCAACAAGAGCAACTAAAAGTTAGTTTTCTTCATGTCTGTTTAAACTTCCTTGCTTTTTTTAGCTGCTGCACAAAATTCCATTAAGGATTTATTTATTACTCTTTAACTGGAAATGACTGATTCGTTTTTTTTTATTAATATTATTTTAAAATGTGTCTCACTAACAAGCTGCTAGGTCTGGTGTATTATGCTGTTGAAAAATGTGTTACTTTTTTTCTATCTTAAATTTTGCTTTCTGAGAAAGCACAGACAGGTTTTTCTGAAAAAGGATGCGTTTAAAGAGATGCATGTTCTCAACTTCTCTATTTGGATTTTAGATGTGCTAAAAACAAGATTGAAAATGCATTTAGATAGTGAAAAAAACTCAGACAAAACTGAACTAGAAAAGGAACTAGACACTTCTGTAAAAACAGACCTTAGTGAAAAAAAAAGCCTATTCCATTTTCAGACTACAATTGTCTTTATATTGAAATATTTCCTACATCTAGCCATAACCTTTCAAACTACAATTCATATTAAAAGAAGGGGAGAAAGACTATTCTATTTGCCCCATATGGACATGGGGATGTTTATGTGACGTGAGGATCATTAAACACTTCATAATAGTTTTATTTTCCAGTTCTACACCTGGACACACTGCCTGCTTCGGATGATCGACCATGTGCACCGAAATTAACGTCCACCAGCTGTCAATGGCGGGAAAACAACAGCATGAATACAAACTGGATGGCAAGGAAAAAACTAGAGAAATGGGGCTGATCTAAAAAGAAAATTGTGAAATATATGCAAATGACTACAATGAATAAGTTAGCATTTATGGCAATGGAATCATTCAGCCATAAAAGGCGGTAAGCATAATAAAAGATAATGAGAGTAAAAAGCTCATTTATTGATGCTCATAAAATCAGAGTTCTGTATGGCAATTTCTCATTTGAGCATTACTTTAATACATTCTTACATGGACCTCTAAGCATTAGGAGGCCTGATATGATGGGCAAAAATCCATTATCATGAATAAGTACCTGGATATTCACAGTAAACTGTACAGGAGTAATAACACTCATATTATTTACAGGTTGGATCAGAGCTAAGGTTACTCTGAAAGTATTGATACTCTAACACTGTATCCAGACAATTTGTCTTTGTACAGATACTAAAGACAAGTAGTCTTTGCATATTTTTTACTATTGTTGATTTTAGATTATTGGATTATTTGCAGTTCAGAGGTAGAAGTAGATTTTCTACGTTCAGAAAAATACGTTTATGCTTGTAATTACTTTTCATTTTTATCCCTATGGTATTAAGAAATTTAATATTTTCTTGGATAATGATATCATGTTTGAAATTTTTGTATCCAAATTCTAAGAAGGCTGAAAACTCATGGGCCTCAGGAAGCACTTATTAGGACTCTTTTTTTACTCTTCTGTGGCCATCTTATAAGATTTTGTGTGTTAGAGAAGCACCTTCTCTAAAACTGAGAATTTACTTTGATAAGCTCGCCCAGAAGGGTTAGGGCAAATAGTGTACTAGGATGCACCATTTGACCAACTGAGAAAAAAAAAACACTATCAAAGGTAAAAATGCTTGCTGAATAATATATCCTACTCATGCATGAAGCTGCTGCAAAGCTAAAGAGTTGCTTTAGTAGAACACTACTGCACCCTAAGTGAAAGGTGAAATAATGACAAAAAGATAAAACCAAAAACGTGCATCATCAGGCTAATGCCCACACTAATAATGCCAAACCTTGTATAGAAGCAACCAGGATGAGAGAAAGAATCAATCAAAAAGAGAAAAATCATAAGAAAAGTCTGTGACGCAAATATTTTATCATTAGTTTTCTCTCTCAAATAACTGAGATAAAACCTAACTTCTTAAATGTGATGCTAAACTATTTGAAAAGATGCTCAATATTTGGCAAAAAATAAGAAATACCAAAGTACGAGTTTTTTTATTAAATAGATCTTGTTGGATTATTATAAATAAGTTCATAAGCTAAATATTACATTAAAAGATAAATATTATTTTAGATAGAGTTATAGACTATACCTTAGTTTAAGGTCTACAAATGTGTCAGCAGGCATGACCTTACATGACACTCTCACTTTAGGACAATCTTGACCAACATAGGACAGTTTCCTAACATAATCAAGTTTATATTATTTAAAAACCAACAACATCCTTATACTTAGATGTTATGCTCCAACAAAGTGGTGATTTAAAACTGCCTTACTTTACTTAGAGTGATGAACGGTGCTCCATTAGAATCTACCTCAGGCTGGATGCGGCCCGGCACAGTAATTTATCTGGCAGTCAAGAGCCAAAAAAAGGCCATATTGTCATAAATTAAGGGTATATGTTCTGTTAATGTGTATAAAAAGGCTGAAACTACTCCATAAATGGGAGTACAGTTATAATGCCAGAGCAGTGCTCTTTGTTAACTCAGTGAATAAGTCAAAAGTTTGATTTTTACACCTGCAAGCATCCCTTTCAAAAGAAAATATGACGCTGAAGTGGCCCAATATAAAAGAAGAGTTTGACACCCCTGCTCTACACCGTCACTGGGGGGGGGCTTGTAAAGTTTCTGACAGAGTAAGATTTATGCAGGCATTCTACTATATTTCAAGCAGGAGTCGAAGGCTACTTTCATGTCAACATTTCTAAAAAAAAAAAGCTCAGCTTTGAATTAACTTTTTAAAAGTATAACATATTTGTAAATTTCCTATGGAACAAAAATGGAAAACAAAATACATTCATCCTTAGAGGACAATTAGAAGAAGGTCAGACACACAAAAACGTCCTTTACCATGAGTGTCGTCGGACTGGTTAAAACCACACAGCTGACAGATGGAGCGGACCCACTTGTTCATCTCTTCCTCCGTCTCAGCTACGAGATAAAAAGTGCGATCTGAGGTCTTGATGTCGAAGACAAAGCTGTCCTGGAATTCCTTCCTCTTGAAGGTCAGGCCAGCGTCCACCTGCTCACAGCAGTGCAGGTCGATGACCCGGATGGGCTTCTTCGAGTGGTCGTTTTTGTAATACTCCAGAACATCGGGGTCACCGCTCATTCGGCCACTCCGAAGTATAAACCAGCGTTTCTTCCATGCCTGAAATGAAAGAAAAAGGGTATGAATGGGAGCTTAATGTCCAAAAACAATGCATTTAAAATCCTATAACATTGAAGAATCATCTGTCATTGGAAGCAACACCATCTTAATTAGCATTCCAAGGAAAAAAACAACACATTCGTATAGGTTTAAATCTCACTGTGCAAAAAGGGAAAGTGTTGCAATGGTGGCAGTCTCAACAGCTGGACGCTTGATCTGTTGTTTACTGTTGATCAAAAACACCAAAGAGAAAAGTCTGCCTTTTTAAGCACACATGTGGTTGAGTGTGGTTCGTGTATATCTTAGTGACTGCGAGGGGAAGGGGGGGACTAGCAGGTGTTTACTCCCTCCCAACGTATTTCCTGTGCAGATATCCCTCACTGAGCGAAGAGAAGCAGCGCTCCTCCATGACAGCTTCATTGAAAGACTGCAGACTCCTTCCGCTACAAGAACAGGACAAAAGGCAATTTTCTGCTCCATTCAAATCAAGTCAAATCAGCATATAGTCACTGAAGGTTTATCTGAGAAAAAACAAACCGCTGCTTATACAGGTGCAACTATATACATTAGAAGATTGTAAAAAATTGTATTCGTTTTAAAGAATTCAACAAAAAAGTGTCAATGATCTGTTATGTAGATCCATTATACTCTGACTTATTATGGTAGGTGTTTACTTCTATTCACTTGATGATCTTGGCTAATTACCTTGGCATACTAAACAAAGGCTTAGTGGGGAAAAAACTTTGGTAGAAATAGTAACACATACATGTGACAGGGAGAGCTGCAGCCCTGTGGGGATTGTGAGGCAAATCCAAAGTCTAGACCAAAGTAAGTGAAGCTGTCTGCCGGGTCAGTTTCAGAACATTTCATGCTCCCCTTTACTTAACAGCTTTATAAATATGCTGATTTCATTTCCCAGTAAACTTAGTGCCGGTTCACAACCCTCAAAAGTACCAAAAGTTGTTTCAATAACCACAGCATTGTTTGTTCTTGGAACTGCAAGACCAAAACCCAAAAGCAAATCTATGAAGTCTGTCACTATTAAGTAGAAGCAAGGGTGGATGGCCCACATATACCACACTGATGGAGAAATGCATGCCATAGAAGCCTCTGCAATGAGAGCTGTTTATAGCATCAACTTTACAGAATACAGATAGCCTTCAGTATCCTTATAATGATCCTTTTTTATTGGTCTTACTTTATATAAAAATGATTGGAGATACTAAATGTTGGGCTTTGGTTAACTGGGAACCATATTGCTCTATATAAGCAGGAATAAATATATCATTCTATTATTTATTCAATCTAATCTTTTGTTATTATATAACTAAAACACAATGTCATTTTATTAATAATGTATTGTATTGAGCTTCACCTCGATGAATACAATAACATCTATGTATTTGTTTTTTATGAACAGCAGCCTTCCATGATTCATCTCCACATGGTTAGGCAGTAGTCATTGTAAAGACTCTGTTCTCTGTACTGTGACACAAAAGAGGAAGATAGACCAGGAAGGGAAAGGGGGCATAAAAGAGTGTGGGGTGGGCTTTTGAACATGTGCCAGGGATGCACTTCCAGCAGGCAACGTCTCACATGCAGGCTGCTGACACACAGGATCCTGCTGGCCCCCTCCCCCTCCATGAGCACAGACACTGCCGCAAGGCTAATGCTTCCTCTCCCAAAAAAAGAAAAAAAATCACCCTACAAATACGATCTTCTTAATCTCTTCTGGAGGTACGAACATTTTTTTTTTCTATTTTGGGGGCCATTAACCTCAAGATACAGAGATGAAATGAGTGATGGCTGACAAAGCTTCCTTGGCTTCACTGCCCTGGTAATGTGTGTATTGGCAACCTGTCACCATCTGTAGCGGCTCACAGGGACATTAGGATGGAGAGTGGAAACCTTTCCTATCTATCTTCTGATAGGAAAAATGGAAAAGTTACAGAGGGAATATGAGTGAACTCAGCAGGTGTATCAGCGAGTCTGAAAACACAAGAGAGAAGGAGAAAATAGTAAAACTAAGGACCTAATTTCAAAGCTTGGGTGTCTACCTGGATCCTCTGCATTAGTATGCAGGTTTACTTCAATCTGGCTTAAACAGAAATGGGATGGAACCAACTGGCCCAAACAGACTTAAACAATATCTAGAATACCTAAGTGTAACAGGAATGAACAGGGTGATAGACAGGAAAGACAGAATAAGCGGATGCTAATAATATAATTTATCTTGATGTAGAAATATAGAAAGTCATAAATATATGTGTTTTTACCAAAGTACTATGAACTTTCTTAAGAAAACTCTTTTGACCTTTTCCATTGATGCAATACTAATATCAAACAGAGAACCTGAGTAGTTGTAGTTTAACCTGAAATTTTAATGTTTACTATTTTTATTCAGACTTTAAAAAGTTAAAGAGGGACAGAAAATTGTTTTTTTTTATGCTTTGCCCATTTAACATTTTTCCCCCTAAAATTCAACAAAGAAAAACAAAACAAAAAAACTAGTAGCTCCATCACCGTCTGTCTTAAAGTGACCAAGTGACCTTACACATTTCTAAAGTAGTAGATTGCTCTGCATGCATATAAAGTTGTTCTGCATAACTTATTGAGCCGTTAGTCTTTTATATATAATTTGTATGTGTAACACTATATTTTTCTTTATCTATTTGTGTTACTGTGGATTTAATGTATCAAGATCATGTGACCAGAGGAACGATATTGCTCCACAACTTATGCCAGAGGTTCCTCCTACAAAGATAAACATTCTACAGTCCTAAAGTTACACACAGCTTGGGAAATAACTGCTAATGGTCTATAAAGTGTCTCTTTTGCCTATATTCTCTGCTGGCCAGATGTTGAATTCCCTGTCGAGTGGAAGTCCCAGAACCCCCCTCATGTATGAATTAGTTTTCCTAAAATTCGAGAATAAAAAGTATGCAATCAAGGGATGTACTGAAAAGTAATCTCAGACACTGTCATCATTTTTAAATGTCTTTTCAGTTTAGGGGATGTTGCCATTATTACTGTTGTGTTATTTGTTGCAGCGTGTGGGGGGGTCGAGCCAGGGTAAAAAGAGCGGGGTGGTTTATAGTTGGGTTTTATGTGTTTACTTTTTTTTTCTGTTTATGCGCTATATTAAAGAAATAAAAATCTAGGCATTTGTATTTATTTTACATTTAATCTAAATAATAGCGTATTTTCAGAAGCTGTGTCCATAATGGACACATCGTATTTTAAGAGATACCAAATAATAATTGGTTTCAGAATTTCTGACTAAACATCCAGGTCACTGCAATTAATGCAAACATATAAGAAAACTGCACCGTTAAAGTGACCTTGTTATGCACAGTTTTAACTGTATTTAAAATAAAATTAAATAATAATAGCAGGATAGAAAAAAAAATCATGTTTTAACTACAAACAATTACTTGGAACCAGATGGAAACATGAATGGGTTTGAATTACAAAGGAGTCATAAAACAAGCAAATATGCTCAGGTTAGCTTAGACTTAGCAAACAAAGTGAATATTGTTAACAGGAGACACGTGAGTTTATTGACCACTGCGGCTATATTAAGTCAGATTTGTATTTAAGAATAAATGGCTGTTTGTGAAACATTTTATTACTTTAAGTACTAAGTATATTAATGCTGTCTTATGGAAACTGCAGAAGCTCTGCAGTATCGTGAGGCACCGGTGAGGAAAAAGCTGGCTCTAGTAAAGGAGTGTAGTGGAACAGGCAAGGTGCCTAAAGCAGAGAAAGATGTAATTCACGGTTTGGCTGTTTTTCAAAGGGTTGATAAAAATACATTTGAAGCACAAGCTTAAACTAAAGGCTGAAGATGGTACAAAGCAAAGATTAATGTGGGAGGAGCAAGAGCTGGGTCCTTTAAGGAAGGCGGGACAAAAGAGAAGGGCCCTCTATTTCTTCTTTGGTAAGCCGAATGACAATATTGAATGTTTTAAGGTAAAAACTATCACGAAATTGATATAGATCAACTAATACTGGTAAAAATGTAGAAAGGTTTTTACTGTACTTTAGGACTGCAACTAACGACTATTTGCAAATTGATTAATAATCCGATAGCCAAAGCTTCCTTAAAGAAGACTTTTTACGAAATTAAACCAGGTGAATCTAAAACTTTTCCACCTAAAGCCGGGCATACACTGTGCGACTTTCTCAACCGTTGCACACAGCTGGGGTTTCGTCATACAGTTTGATCAGTACTGTACGACACGACGGGTTTCGTGGTACAGTGTGAGTTCAAAGCTCACGATGTATGTTCGGCCCAACGCTCTGATGCGATCTACCTGCTCACACTGCACGACTAAAAAGCACGTCGGGCTCAGCTCCGCAGTGAGATGGGGCTGATTTGACTTGTCTATCCGGAAGCCAAACAAATAGAAGGGGAATATGAAGCTCACTATAGTGAAACGCGCTGCCTTGGCAATTTGTCCAATTCTGTGCTGAAAGCCCTAAAAAGAAAAGGCGACGACATATTTGTACAAAGACATGGCTGAGCAAACGTGGCTACTATGGTCTGTCAATTTTGCAGAAAGAATTCCATTTCACTCGCACCCCACCATGCTTCGTTGTTTACATCTGAGAGGACGAATAAAAAGAAGAATCCTTGTTTGTGCATGCGCACTGAGCGATTTGCCCACAACGGTCGTGAGTTCAGGAGAAAAACAAATATGTTTGATTTTCGCCCGAACTCACGATTCCTGATCAGGAGGTGTGGTCGTGTGCTCGTAACCCCCTGTACACTACACGACTCACAATCAGGCTGAACGTCGGCCCGATCGAAAAAAATTCTCACATGACTTGAAAATCGCCCCAAAAATCGCATAGTGTACGCCCAGCTTGAGGGCTTCTGGATAGAGAAAATGACAGGCAAAACATTTTTTTTTATCTTAAATTTAAAACATTGATATATTTTTTTTTTACAATTTTGATATAATTACTGCTCTAAGTGGGTCACAGTGTCAGCCAAA